TACAAACTTTTTGATTCTTGGGCCACATAAACAGGAACACCTCGATCGTGCGTCAGACGTAATGAATAGCCATAGATATATCTTGGTCAGTGCCAGCAATCGTTTCATTAGTCCTTGATTATGCCTTAGCTCAAAACAGCAGCACCTCAGTGAGCCACGAAGGTGCCCAGGCCAAGAGGCAACGGAACCTTCCCAAGAGTGCTAAAACTAGAAGGAGGAGATACTTTAAACCTAGAAACTTTAACAAGACACATAATAAATTCGAAAGAATAACCGAATGCCCGTGTCTACAAAGCCTGAAGCAGAAAATAATAAACCGAAAGTGGAGCCAAAAAGCTCCGACCATCCTCCTAATTCTGAATGTACCTCATCGAATTCTGCTACAAATACTGCTACCGCCTCTTCGTCTGTTGTCTCAATTAAAAGGGAGGACAATGGCAGTGCTTTTAACGTAGGCGGAAATTCAAAGAGGACTTTTAGACCAAGAAGGGGGTGGCAGAGAGAGACTATGAAGAAATCTAGAGGTACTCTTCCACTCGTGTACTCTTCTCCTTCAACATAATAATAATAATTTCAATAATAATAATAATATTATTATTATTATTAATTTGGGGTGTGCAATAGACTTACCTCCACGTGGTGCACCCTGGGCAACGTATACTCATACGGCAAAAAGGTCTATTAACCGGCAGTTGACTTCTGACTTCAAACTACCATGGCCCTACTGCTTGCCCTACACATCTTACCTTTTTCTCAACCTTTGTGTCTGTCTGCCTCTTTTACATCTGTGAATCGATCTTCTGTACCCCACCCTCGACTTTCTTCTACTTTGATGAGCCTTCCCTCTGTGAAGCCTGAAGTCAGCTAAATGGCTAATGATAGCTATCAAAACGCCTGCCATTTGAAATAAATAAATAAATGCCTTACCTGATCTTGTAAAGCTCAAAACAGCAGCACTTTTATCCAACATAAATCACTGAATTGTTGCAAGAGTAAGAAGATCATTGGAATGGAACGACCTATTTATAAATCAATATTTAGTGAATTTAGACATTATATGAGTGATTGGTCATCAAAAGGTCAATTCAGGTTTTATGACTTTTTGAAACCCAGTATCCTATGCGTCGTTCTCCATTTTATTTGTACTTTAATCACATGCCTCTTCATCACAATTGAGGCCAATTAGTTATATCTCAACATGAAATGAGACCTCCATTTTTTCAGGCTCATTGTTTCAAAAGTTTATTGCAAGAGTTCTTGGTTCAATGAAATCACACAGATGAAATTATGAAGAAAATAACATGAAAAGCTTCAGTTTTAATAGAAACGATATTTTAAGAGCCGTCTTGAAGTACTTTTAATGCATTACTCAATGTTCTATAAGAGGCCTTAGGACCGCATGGTGCCAGAATCGTAAAAGAAGGTGCTATTACCGTTTGATGCATGCTCAACATGTCTCTATAGCCTTCGCCTAAAACCACCAAAACTCCCTCACGTCGGCAGCATCAGTCTGCTGGGGGACACGTATGAGTGTGGAATGATGCAATTTTCAAAAAAAATTATTCGGATGTTAAGGGGTTAATGTGTGATCTAATTTTGGCCTTTATTTAAAATTTTTAGCAGAATATCCATTACTGAAAACGACAAGCTAGCTTCGGAAGTGTTTTAAAAATTCACTTTTGATTGACTGAGTTCACTACTGAGAAACGCATATCCGAGCACACCCTTTTAGCAACTGATCATCGAACAGGTGTCATCGGCTATCTTTTCATATTTAAATAGGAAGCAATATTCACCTTTCTAACTTCTTCCGCGTATTGATTAGCAAAGAATTCAAGAGGAGACTTTAATGAGAAGATTCTCCTCCTTCATGAGGTTTGGAGTTAGTGAGGTCAATTGAGTGACCAAAGTCCTGAACACTGATAACTTTATTGAGTCACGATAATTCAAATTTGGAATAAATTAAAAGATTAGAAATCCACATCAGTACCAGATTGTAGTAAATACATTGGCGAAGCCGTTTGAATAGCAGTGATAAATCTTTCTTCCAATACTTTTACGCAATATTCGTAGAAATCTGTAGGGGATAATGTCTCTAACCGATATTACCTGATGCTTAAAGTACGTATTATCATTAAATTGCAAAATGTTTTTCTCCTGAGGGGTGTGCGATGGACTTACCTCAACGTGGTGCTCCTTGGGCAACACTTACTCATACGGCCGAAAAAGTCTATAAACTGGCAGTTGACTTCCGACTGCAAACTACCATAACTTCGCTGTATGTCATATTCGACCACTTTTACAGTACTCATCTCACTTTACCTCTTCCTCTACCTTTGTGTCTGTCTGTCTCTTTTACTCTTCGAATTTTTGTGACTTTGATGTTCCTCCTCCCCTTCGTGACGCCCTGAGTCAACTGAAGTGCTAATGCTAACTATCATACAGCCTACCATTTGGTATAAATAATTTTTTCACCTGAGTGCTTGTTGCTCATCTTTAGCCTTGTGAGCTCTTTTCCAGGTTTTATGTGTTTCAGGGTGTCGAGACC